TGGGTTGTAATTCCCGATTTCAGGAAGCAGCTGGCGCAGGGGGAGCTGGCGCGGGCGCTGGGCGCGTTTTTGGGGCTATAATTCCCATTTTTGGGGCTATAATTCCCATTTTTGGGGCTATAATTCCCATTTTTGGGTGTCCCAATCCCATTTTTGGGGTCCCAATTGCCGATTTTCAGGAAGCAGCTGGCGCAGGGGGAGCTGGCGCGGGCGCTGGGTGCATTTTTGGGGCTATAATTCCCATTTTTAGGGCTATAATTCCCATTTTTGGATGTCCCAATCCCATTTTTGGGGCTATAATTCCCATTTCTGGGGCTATAATTCCCATTTTTTGGGCTATAATTCCCATTTTTGGGTGTCTCAATCCCATTTTTAGGGCTATAATTCCCATTTTTGGGTGTCCCAATCCCATTTTTGGGTGTCCCAATCCCATTTTTGGGGTCCCAATTGCGGATTTTCAGGAAGCAGCTGGCGCAGGGGGAGCTGGCGCGGGCGCTGGGCGCGTTCCTGGGCCGGCTGCAGGAGGAGCTCAGGGACGCCATGGACGCCATGGGCTGCACGCGCTGCGGGGGGCGCCACAGGTGGGGACACTGGGGACACTGGGGGGACATTGGGGACACTGGGGGGACACTGGGGGCTCAGGGTGGCATCGTGTCCTGGGGGATTTGGGGGATGGTGTCATGTCCCTGGGGGTGTCACAGTGTCCCCATGTCCCTGTGTGTGTGTGTCAGTGTCCCCAATGTCCCCATGTCCCTGGGGTGTCACAGTGTCCCCATGTCCCTGTGTGTGTGTGTGTCAGTGTCCCCAATGTCCCCGTGTCCCTGGGGATGGCACAGTGTCCCCAATGTCCCCATGTCCCTGATGTCCCCAATGTCCCCATGTCCCTGGGAGTGTCCCCAATGTCCCCAATGTCCCCAGTGTCCCTGAAGGTGTCCCCATGTCCCCAATGTCCCCACGTCCCTGGGAGTGTCACAGTGTCCCCAATGTCCCCATGTCCCTGGGGGTGTCCCCAGTGTCCCAATGTCCCCAATGTCCCCAGTGTCCC